GGGGGGGGGGGGTTGAATGATAATTTAGCGGGCAAGATATTATATTCATCATTCATCAACATCACCAGCATATCAACGATCATAAAATGATACTATACCTTGCCCAAGGGGTGCCCACGCTATCTAGTTTCAGACCCTCTTTTCCCCCCCCCCTTTATTTGGATCTTCTTAATTTAATCTCATATCTATTCCCAATCTGTTTCCTTCTATCTTTTACAAAAGGGGGGGAAGGAGGTTGTATCACACAAAGCTTCACTCACTCACTCACATCAAAACAAGTCCAACATAAATTTTAAAACTTTCTTTTCTATTATTTCAAAACCAAGCTACGCAAAAAAACGTGCGAACACAAAAATTTGCGCAACTCGGTATCTCCTATATATATACCTTATATGCCCTATCCGGAGGAGCTGTGCTCGACTCCATCCCATGATTCCATCACACCTATTCATTCATGTCTCTCCTCTCAAGAATGAATCCTAGAGACATGATATCTAAGTTCCTTCCTTCCATCCCAGAACGTAATCGGTACTAGAACCAGCCGAAGCCCATCTAGGGAGTACGTATTGTATGCATTGATGGTGGATAAAACTCATCATGCGGTATCAAAAAAAAAAAAACCAAACAGAAAAAAAAAAGCAAATCCAGAACGCCGTTGCTATGGGTAATGCGCAAAAAGCGCGTGTGCAAGAACGAGTGGTCAGAGCAAAAGGATAAAGAAATCCCGTCGTGATGCACCAGCTCTGCTCTTCCGACCTTCCGAACCATGCTTCCCATGCTCCCAAACCCCATTACTCCTAGACATAAACGTCGTTGGTCTCATCATGCTATTAAGTAGGCTATTTCTTTCCAGCCCGGCCCAGCCCAGTGCTTTGCAGCATGCTCCTCTAAACCCAATGCTTGAATCGAGTGTCCTCAGGACCCTGTCGCGGGCGTTGAACGTCCGGAAGCGAAGTGAAAACCATACGCGATATCGCAATATGGTAAGATGAAGTTTTTAGAACCCTGCAAGCCAGTTGAGGGTCCCAAGCTCGAGAATTCTAGATCAACAAGAAATCCCAGCCCTTCATCTGCATTACGTCTCGCCAGGAGACGTAGTGTGCTTCACCACCACCGGGACTTAAACGTCCGTCAACATGCTCCCAGACCTCCTTCAGGAGGTAGGCAACTCGGCCGAAGCTTCCAAAATTTGCGAGGTCCCCGAGACCAGCCATGCGCTCGTGGAAGAAGGAGCGGAAGGTCGACGAGGCGGTGCTGACCGAGCCCCCAATGAGATAGACCCAGACGAGACTGCGGTCGAACCCAGCCGGGCCGGCAGGAATGAACTCGAGCACCTGGGTCAGCTTCTCCACGAGACCGACGCAGCTGGCTTGGCTTGGCGTGAAGCCGGGAACGAGACTGCAGAGGTAGATACGGGCCGCCAGGCGGAACGCCGCTGTCAAGTTCTTGCTGAGCTGCCGTGGGTTGAGCACCCCATTGGAATTGAAGGGGATCTTGGGGCCGGTCTCCCCAATCTCCGTCAGACCGATCTGATCGCCCAGGGCGTGGACGTGCTGGCAGAGTTGGATGTCGCCCATGCCATCCTTCTTGAGTGCTTCCAGACAGGCGATCTCGGAGATCAGGTACATCACGCGATCGTCGCAGCCCATCAACTCCCGGAGCCCAAGGGAAGGGTTGGTGGGCGAGAGGTGCTTCTCCCGGTAGGTGTGCGCGAAGGTTGGCGCGCGGCCCTGGATGGTCGCGCCGAGGATATCGATCCACGCCGCGAGAGTCATGTTGAAGGATTTCAGGTCGTGTGACTCAGTGACCAGATGGCTCAACCCCAGCTTCTGCACGAGCGAGATGGCCGCCTGGAAATGTTGATGCCAGGGGATGTCGGGCAGGGTGTCGTCGAATCTGCCGACGGAGCACTGGAAGAGGATCATGCCGAGGGTTGCTTCCAAGATGGAGGTGTGATCCGTGTCCCGGCTGAGGGCGGCACACAGCTCTGAGATGGTCGCGTAGCGGTGGCGCATGATGTCGTTGTCGATCTGCTCGCCCTGTACATTCATCGTGGCTTTGCAGTGCTGAGCGGAGATGCTGAGACAGCAGTGCAGGTAGCACTTGTTGCTCTGGAGGGCGGGCAGGACGTAATCGTTCCGCGCGGATCCCGGTTGGTTGGTCTCAAGAATGGGGAAGACGGTGGGGAGGACGTCCGAGATGAAGTGGTCCAGCAGTCGCTGGTCACCCTCGTCGAGCTCGACGGCGACGTGTGGGAGGGAGGCCGGGGCACCACTCGAGAAGTCGAAGAAGTTCATATCCAAGGCGTCGTCGGCCATCGAGTCCCTCCGCTCATCGTAGATCTCGGCCCAGTCATTGTCGACGGGGAAGCCGGGCAGCATGGCGTCCGGGGGAGGCGGCGGGTGGTAAGTGCTGAACGTTGATATGGTCGATTCGCGACGGGTCGGGATATCGTCCACGAACATCTGTCGCTCGGTCTTGACGTCGATCTCGTAGGGCGAGAAGTCGGGATACAAGGAGGCATACTGCGAGTGCGCCGAGTGCATCTGGGCATTGTAGGCGGTGTAATCGGCGATGCCCGGCGGCGCATTGAAGTCGAACAGTGAGAGCTGGGAGTCGATGGACGCGGAGCGGGTGCGATCGAGCGGGTCGGAGAAGGTGGCCGAGGTGGGCAGCGAGTGGGAGAGGCTCGGCGGGGTCTCTGCGCCGGGCGTCATGACTTGCGAGGCGGCGGTGGTGGTCTTCTCAGACAGCTTCTTCCGCTTGATGATCATCTTGATGTTGTCTTTCTGGAAGCGGCGCTGGTCATTGTTGCTCCACCACACGGGTCTCTTGTACTCGCAGCGCAGACCCAAGTGCTTGCAGGCGGTGCAGGCGGGGGCGCCCTCGTCGCACTTCTTCCTCCGCAGTCTGCATGTGTAGCAACCTTCAGGCGGGCAGTCAGTAGACATTCCTCTTATGTTTGCGACGTTGTCGGGTATCTGGGTCGGGTATATCATGCGAAGCGGGAGGGGAGCGGGAAGGGAGCGGGAAGGGGGAAGCGAGTTGAAGCGACGAGAACAGAAACAGACGGGGACAGCGGGAGTTAAAGAAGAAGAAGCGCGCGCAACAACTGACCTGTCCGTGAGCGTCGGTGCATCTGCATCTTGGTTTTGGGAGCATTGTTGGGATTTGCCTTTGAAGCCGGCTTTGGCTTGGATTGAGCGACCGCCATGGGGACGTTCGTTCTGCCCATGAAAAGCGGGTTGGGGGGTTGAGTAGACATTTGTACCTCGCAGGTCGAAGAGGTAAGGTTCGGCAGGCAAGGTGTGGTACGGTAGACAAGGGAGGCCAGCAGCAGTGGGGGGGAGGGAGGGAAGGAATGGCTGGCAGGGAAAGGGGGGGGGACCTGGAGAGGGGGGGGAGCGTGACCGTGACTGGCTTGGGCTCCCTGGACCACAGCGGGATGTGATATATCGGGTGGAGAGTCGAAGTGGGAAAATAGTACAATAATAATAATGCACGACGCGGGCCCGATGGTGCGATGTCTTGCGCAGTCAAATGGCAGGCCGGGGATGGGATTCGATCGAGGCGAGCTGGACTGGACGGGGGGGGCGGGGGCGGGGGGAGGGGGCGCGCGGATCGAGTGGATCGCAGGTTCGTAGGGACGGACGGGCGAGGAACCGGGGACAGATATCGATTGAGTGATTAAGATGATTAATGAATGATAGACGATAGACGCAGCCAAAGCAAGTCCAGCTTGACTTTGGGCGGGAAAACGGGAGAGAGAGGCGGCCGTGGAGAGAGAGAAGGAGAGAGTTCGAGTGTTGGTGAAGGGGGAGAGGCGGGGGAGAGTTGAGGCACGGCGAGGAGAGAAGAGAAGAGAAGAAGAGAAGAGAGGCTCCCAAGGACAAGAAGAAAAAGAAGAAGGTGAAGGTGAAGGTGGAGGTGGAGGAGAGGAGAGAGCAAGACACACACTTATGAAGCCTCTCTCAGGTCTGGCGATGCAAAGGAATAATAATATACGACAACTCTCGATGTTGGACATTCTAAATATGTGAACATTCTATTTCGGGACGGTCGAATGAGAGGCGGGCAGCAGCGATGCCGGCCACGATTCGCGCCGATGATGCGGGATGAGCAGTGAGCAGGTCGGAAGGGGTGTCGTCGAGGCGTGGGAGGGGTGGGTGGATCATGCCTTAGTCGGGTTGGCGGTTCGATATGCGGCTAGTCTCTAGTGCCCTTCGCCCTGCCGCTAGAACCACCCCGGCCCGCTGCTGCTGCTATTTCGGCCCCGGCGCGTCCTGCAGCCCTCTGCCCAATGCGGCAATGCCCAACCGGGCGATCGATAACGACTGCCTGGATAGGGAAGGCTCCTGCTTGGACAGGGCCAGATCATGAACACTGTGTTTGCTTTGCTTACCTTAGCAGAGTGTCCCTGCTCCAATGGATGGACGTCACTCAAGCCTCGGTTGTCTCCTCTTTCTCTCTCTGGCCTTCAGCCCTTCAGCCTCTTCTTCGGCCACTCTTTTCTCCCTCTTCTGAGTCTTCTCTGAGTTCTCTCTCTCCAGCCTCACGGAGTCATACATCCACCTCTTGCCCAACCAGGCATAGTGCCATGCGCTCTGCAGACTGCAAGACAATCATCAATCATCCGGGCAGCTCCATAGCAGTTCTCTCTTTCACTCTCTCACTCTCTCCTCTCTCCTCTCTCCATCCGATGGGGTACATACAGCACCATCAGGTTCCTCTGTAGCTCTCCCGCACCCACTAAGATGGGGCAGAGGATAGTACTAAGTAACACTGGCATTAACACTGGCATTAGCACTTGCACTGGCACTTGCACTGGCTCTGGCTCTGGCACTGGCACTTTACTCCCCTTCACCCCCTCCCTCCGCGCGGCTGATCTCTACCTGCCCGTTGATCTTGGATTTTCCGCCTAAGCGTCCTTAGCGGTGAGAAAAGAACCATCCATCCATCCCCCCGTGCCCTGTCCAGCCGTGCGACTCGACCAGCCGTCAGCCGTGGCCGCCACTGTCCCGACTCCCGAGGACCCTTCTCTGTCCCCGAACCCATCCTCTGCTCAGCGCAATCTCCAGATCCCTCGAATAGGGTCGCGCGCCTGGTCGACCAGCTCCAGATTGGCCCACGCTCGTCCACTCAGGCGTCGTCTTGCGGGAAAATAAATAAAATCATCATTTCATAAAATGAGCGTCGCACAGCAACAGCATGGTCCGGGGTCGGGGGCCCCAACCAACCAGCTCCCTCGAGGCTGCTGCCCTTCGCAGCGCGTGATGGCCGCACGACTGGACGTCAAGCCTTCGACGTCCGTGAATGTTGTCGTTGAGCTGCAGTAGCGCGCATCGCGGCGGAAGCACGGGAGCCAACCGTGCCAGATGCGTCCGGCATGGCACGGACGCCCGCACAACGCGCCAGGGTCCCGCACGCCAATCAGCGCCGCCCGCAACCGAACACCGGCGCAGGCAGAGATTTGGAAAATCCCTTTAGCCGTTGCGGGGGGCGAGCGAGGGTTCGGCCGCTAGTGCGTGTGCTAATGCGCAACGGGCCTAGCCTTCGTCCCTTATCCTGGTACATTAGTGCCGGGCCTGCTGGCTTAGCTCCCTTTCTTGCATAATCGCCTGATAAGGGAAAATCAAATCGAGGGGGGAGGGGACCGGGGGGGGGGCAAGGCAAGGGTGTTCTTTTTAAAGATGCATAATTGTGCCGGATGTGGGTGGTATTAACCAACATTTCCACCCCATTGATGCTAATTTGGGTGCACTCCAGGCGGCAAGATGTCATGCAAATTAATCACATTTCCACTCCTGCTCATGCAAATGCACACAATAACCGCCTGATCAAGATCTATTTTCAGCCTTTTGTTCTGTCAGCAGCACAAGAATGTTGGCTAATTACCCACCCTCGACCTTCTCGAAGTCCCTGCCCCCCTCCCGACGGAGATCTTCCGCCTCCGTTTCACTGTGCACAGGCTGGCCCCCCACCGCGGCTCTAGCTCGCCCTCGGTCGAGTCCCGCACAGCAACCAGGAAGGAAAAGAAGAGACGGCGTCGAGTATGTGCGCCCTGCTTACCAAATGAACCCGCGCCTTAGCCGGGCTCCCGTCATCCCATCGTCGACGCTCATTGGGACGACTTACGAAGGCCCTGGGGGCCTGGACGAGAGAATTTGATATCGACGAGCGGAGCGGAAGGCCTTCCTGCGCAGTAGGTGATCGATCCATGACGATATCTGCGGTAGAGAGGGTACTGTCTTCCGGCATCCCGCCCGTTCTGGCTGGGAAACTCAAATCAACCATCACCTCACCTGGGGCACTGGCCCGATAACCATGTGGGAATACTCCAGTCCCCTATCGGAATCAAACGTTACATGAACGATGGGTGATTGGAAGTCCATTCCCTATGTACAGTACCGTCCCGCGGCACATGCTCGCACAGATGCACACACTTCTCTCTCGCGTCGCGGCCCGACCGGTGCTGAAGATTTCACACGTCGTCCCGGCCTTGCGCTTCCATTCGACACTCCTCGCCCCTCAACACACAGACCTCAAGACTCCTGACCTTCCATGCGTCCTTCTACAGGTCTCAAATATATGGCCCAGCCAGCCAGCCCTGAATCTTGATCGAGTCTTTCTTCACACCCTCTCCTCCACCAGTCCTGTCTCACAGAGAAACAGCTCGACAGGGAATCCCGCATGAGCTTTCAATCATGTGAGGGCCGCTGTGTTGCGCCCTTCTCGTGGCAATTGGCCGGAGACCTCGTGAGAAGCTTTGACTGTCATACCTGTGAGAGGACCTAAAGGCTAAGGATGGATCCCTCTCCTCCACATACGTAGGCTGGAGCGTGGCGGCCGTTGTACGTAGTCCGGCCGTGCGAGTTGCTTCATTTTCGTGAGGGTTCGCCGCACATGTGGATGCGGAGAGAAGGCATGGTAGCCAATACCTCTGCTTTGCGGGCATAAGCGGGCAGGCGTGAAGTCTCGTGGACACTTCCCCATGCCCCGAATCCTTCCTTTTCTCTAGCTGGATTTTCAAGCCTGCAGGATCTTGATTATGGTTACGAAGGACAAGAATAATGGGCATGAAATGCTGTGGAGAATTGGTCATCCTGGGCCCAATGGATCCCGGGATTGACTGATTCCAATTCTCATATTCAAAAAAAACTCGTCTCGTGGGATGCGACCTTTAATATCCAAGGAGCGAGAAGGCACAAATTCAGGACTGGGATGATAGCCGGGGCGCACCACTCAGAGCGCGCGAGAGAGAGGCGGGCACGCACGTACGAAGGGACCGGCACACGATACATCATACAGTGGATGAATAAGTGCTTCCCTCGCATCCTATACCTCTTTGGTTCCTTGGGCATCCTAGAGGAGCGTGCCATATGCATCATGTCATATCACATCTACCTACTTGGTAAGGTGCCTTGAGGTAAGATGCCATGAGAGTTGTGCGCGATGGATTACCTTACCTCAAGTATGTGGGCTCCAGTCACGTGTAGTGGCTGCGGATAGAGCCGATCACTAAAGACGACTCCCGACGTCCCTAAGGCTCCTCGTTCCTTCAACTCCTCCCCATCGGCCCGCTCCATAGCGACCGCTCAGAAACCAGTTGCAGAAGACCGTCTCAAATCCGTGATTGGCCATCGCGGGAGGATTCAAAGGACAAAAAAATTCCGAACTGGGGACTTTCGTCCCTTTTTTTCATCCGGAGCAAACGATTCGTGCCGTTACTGTACACCAAGCGATCGATTAGCTGCCCACCCGAGCGGCCAGCCAATGGCAATCGGCAGTCAGCGTTCAACGTCCAAGGTGGGCGCGTAAATCCATCCCCCCTCATATCTATTCTTGTGCTTTGCAACCTTCCCGTGCCCAATCGCACACGCCGGCAGTGGGATTCATGGATGATCCATGGGCCGTGGCGGAACGATCCTGGGGCCCGCCCGCCGCCGTCATTGGGCCGCCGTGCATCTCGCGCATCCGGAGCCTTCTCACTGGTGGGTCGCGGCATCCTGACATCTGTCGGCGTCTTCCATTGCTCTCTGCTGCAGCCGAGTGACCGCTTCGCCAGCCAACGGTGCGAGAGGGCGCGCAGTGTGCGCGGGATCGTCACACAGGCTCATGCAGAGATACACAATGTACGGAGGAACCCAAGGTCACAGTGCGGAGGACCTCGCCCGTCAACAGGCTGGGGGGATGTGGGAAGGTGGTGGCCCTTGCGCTTGACCATGAATCCCAAGATAGATATCCCACTCCCCCCCAAACGTCCGCAGAGATACTTATACCTCTGCCACGCGCCGGCATCGTCAATGCCTCTTCTCTTGATGCTTCTGCCCCTTTGCGTCCTTTGATTTCTCTGCGCTTTCCTATCGTCCCTCTCATACTTGGCGACCTCATCTAGATAGTCGGCCGGCAACGGTAAAAGCTCGCGCTCTCGCAATTCTCTCTTACTCAGCATACGATACCATAGCGATACCCCACCCCCCATCACACAAAGATGGTATGTTGTCCGACAGACATGGCAGTCCGTTTCCATATTGACTTCCATTAGCCTCTCGCATCACCCACTTCCCCAATCGACCCGCGGGTGGAGATGTTCCAGACCCGGGATTCGAAGGATTCATTCTTCAACATGAAGGCGCTGGCGCCGCGACACCGACCACTGTCTGAGGCCACAGAGATGTTTGATACAGACTTTGAGGACGATGACAGCGAGGTCGAAGAGGCCGATTCACCACGGCTCAGTCTGAACTCCGTATGTCGTATCACCGCCCCGTACCCTCTGTCTCCTAACATGATATCTTCAGTCCGGTCAAAGGAGTGAGTCGACTCTATCATCTTTAGAAGAAGTCCACACTCCAGGGCCACAAGAATACCAGGGGTTCAACTTCGAGCTGAGCACGAAGAAGGCGGTGGAGGGACCAAGAGGACCTCATCTCTTCAGAAGCTCGATTGAATCACACGACGAATATGTACTTGGGATGTCTCCTATGACTCCTAGACTATCCAGTATCCAGACGGCAGAGCCTGATGTTCCGCAAGTCCCGGAAATACCAAGGCGTCACCGACACACCTCAGTACTCGATGTCGATGATGAGTTGAACCTGGACGACGTCGCGAATTGGTCGCCGCGACAGGTCGCTAGGTGGATGTGGGAGGCTGGGCTCGAGCAGTCCATAGTCGAGAAGTTCCAGGAGAACGACATCTCAGGGGCTATCTTGATGACGCTGAAATTCGAGGACCTGCGAGAGCTTGACATTCCTTCGTTCGGACAGAGGACGAAGGTATGGAATGAAATCCATATCTTAAGGGGTAGTGCCCCAAGTTCTCCAAAGCCCGGCACCCCAATCGATGAAGCTGCGTCGCCGGTCCTAGAGAGAAGACCCTCCAGATACTCTTCGAGACGGGAGAAGAGCCACAGCCATGATTGCGATTCGGACGAGGAGCCAAGGAGACACAAGAGTTCGAGAAGGCGACATCAAAAGCGCCCTGATATTGTCTCCCCGCTTGAATCTGTCTCGATAGTCGGCATCGAGCAAATCATACCAAGACCACACAAGTGCTCCAAGGGAGAGAATTGCTCGAAGTGGAAGAGACAACAACGATTGATCGAGGCATTCAAGGCGGAACATCCCATGGGCGAGCAGGTCCAGACCCCTATCGGACATCCCATCAGTCCCGGACAGGGTGGCTCGATATGGATCGCAGGTGATCCTGGCAATCCGACGACGGCAGAAGCTATTGCGGAGGCTCCTCGGCCTGTCTCCGATGCAGTCCCGTCCGTCGTCGCATCGTCAGATGTGCTGGGCCCCGGGCAAGTGCCTGCTATCCGCCACTTGGAAGAGGCCAGTCTCAAGAATCTCGAGACCCGCGATCCTCAGGACAATGTCAAGCAGTTCCTCCAGTTCCAACACATGGACCCTTACCAAGTCAACTGGTCTTCAGAGGTTCCTCCGACCCCGCCGTACGAGATGTTCCCCACCCTCCCAAATCCCCACTCGAAACTCCAAACTCTCCCCAGACTCGCCATCCCTCCTCCACGTCCTGCCCCGCCGCGCACCTCCAGTGCCGGTGCCTTCTCTCCCTACCGCATGGAACGCGTCGAGGCCCAAACCCCCGAACTCCGCAACCAGACACAATCACCAGGATCGGTCTACCGTTTCGGGACCCCTTTCTCGGAAATGGACGTCCCTGTGACCGCCGTCCCTCTCGGCCCCGTCTCCCGCGATGCCTCTCAATCCGTCCCACCCAACATGTCCTACCGCAGCCCTATCACGCCCACCCAACGCACGCAATCCCGCGCCTCAGTCCGCCGCCCCTCCTTCGCCGCCATGCCGCGTGTCGACGAGAACACCCCTATTGCCCCGCCTCCCCAACCCCAATCCCAATCCCAATCCCTCGCCCCTTCATACCCCACCTCCGCATACCCCTCCTCCTCCGACCCTGCCCCCTGGTCTGCAGTTGACCAGCCCCCCTCCCGCGCGGCCGACGACATCAGCTACGCTGGGTACATGAAGAAGCGGAAGACCAAGATGCTCCGCCACGAATGGCACGAGCACCACTTCACCCTCCGCGGCACGCGCCTCTCCATGCACAAAGATGCGCGCGCTCTCGAGACCCTCGAGTACATCGACGTCGACGACTACGCCATCGCCTGCTCCTCGCTCGCCTCCTCCTCGAAGCTCAACTCGGCCTTCCGGGCGATGAACATCGCGCGCGGTAAGGGGCGCGAGGAGCCAGCCGCCTTCACCTTCCAGCTGATCCCGGCCGTCATCGAGAAGGGCCAGCGGCTGCGGCGCAAGGAGCGCGAGAGCGTGCTCGGCGACAAGGACGCCGGAAAGGAGGGCGCCAAGGCCAAGGTACACCACTTCGCGGTGCGCAGCCGCGATGAACGCATTGACTGGATGAGGGAACTCATGCTAGCCAAGGCCCTGAAGCAGAAGAGTGAGGGCTTCACGGTTAATGTCAATGGGAACATGATCTAGTCTCGATCACCCCATTACCATAAACTGAACCAACAAAAAAATAAACGAAGATGAAAATGAAAATGAAAAATAAATACCCCTTCTCCTTATTTCTTGAACACTAGCGGGCGGCATATCTTGGGCGTTTTCTCTTTTCCTTTCCTCTTTTCTTTTTCCTTTCTTCTTATTTCTTTGGATAGCTAGCTGGGTATGAAGGTATGAAGGAAGGAAAAGAAAGTCAAAGAAACTCACAATTTGAGTATATTTGGATTGGATTGGTATTGGATATCTTGGAAAGTATGTAGAAAGTGAATGAATGGTATATGGTATGATAGGATAGGATAGGATAGGATATGATATGATAGGTAGGACACTCCTTTGAAGGACTTCATACGGAGGCTTACTTACTTACTTTACTGTAATTGAATTGAAATGAAATGATATGAGATGAAATTGGAAGTCTTAAGAACACCGTATAAGAGAAAATCATCATGTGATGAGATGAGATGTAGATAGGTAGATAGGGGGATTTTTCTTTTCATGACCGCTCCACGAAATGCATACATACATATATATGCATATATATATATAATAATTTACACTGTTTGTTGTTTGTCGACGCTCTCTCGTACACTATAGTACAAATATGCTATACTATCTATACCTACTCATGCCTAAGCCGGAACGCCAATTTTTCTTTTTCTTTTCTTTGTTGAAACTTAGCCCGCTCCCAAGACACGCTTGCTAGCTTGTTTTGTGATATAGCATGCTGCTCAAGCTGGGTTGGTTGCGGCTCTCCCTTCCCGCCCTTCAAGGATTTGGCTTTAGGATTTCCCGGGGGGAGGGGATCATGTCTGGAATCGACCGGAGCCGCGCACGTCGGCGTGGTTGGCGACGACGGCCCAATCGATACGGTCCCACCAGCGCTCAGCATAGGCTCTCTTGCCGCCGACGCCGAAAGCGCCGACGCCGTAGTCGGGCAGGTAGACGTGTTCCCAGGTATTGATGCAGAGGACGGGGACGAGGTCGATGCCGCCGGGGGGCAGCTTCTTCTCGGCGTAGGCGCCGTGCGCACCGACGGTGTTGACGGGGTCGCTGCGCAGGGTGCGGCGCAGGGCGTCGCTGATGCTCTTGTTGTCCTCGGTGTTCATGTCGACGGGCTGGCGGCGGTGGTGGGCTCCCGGGTACGGCGAGCCCGCGAGGTACGTCGTCAGGATCGAATACTTGCGGCCGAGCGGGTGCTTGACGAGCCAGACGAAGCCCGGGCCGAACATCGAGCTGGCCGTGACGATGAGCTCTTGGCGGAGCGTGGCGATGGAGGAGAAGGACGCCTCGAGCTCCTTCTTCAAGGGCTCCGGCATGACCGTCTCGGTGGGTGAGAGGCACGAGAAGAAGAAGTGGTTGTTGTGCGCCATCGAGGCGTAGTTGAAGATCGGGGCCGAGTTGGGGTCGCGCGCGTACTTGATCGCGATGTCTTTGGGCGCTTTGGATTCGTATTCTCCTCCTGTGGTAAAATTTGGTTAGTGAAGCTGTTTCCGTCACGAGCCAATTTGCGTCCGGGGGAGCAAAAGGGAGAGCAGGAGCCAGATGGCTGGATCTGCGATATCGATGCCCTACAGATTGCTGCAGGTGCACACTGTTGTTCAACGTACCGACTGTGAGGCTGTTGAGCTTCTCTACCATGAGACTCTGATATTGGGTCCACGCCATGTCGAAGCCCGCCGGGCCCAGGAGACCTGGGATACCCTCATTGGTGAAATCATGAGCGAGAGGAGGCACCTGGTGAAGAGAACGACGGAATGGCCGTAACGTTAACGAACGCCCTATCCGAGGGATAAGAGTGGGCCGTAACATGCTGGGCAATTGATGATGGCTCTCTTCTCTCTCTCGCGCTGGAAGATCTCGAAAAGTACATCGCGGCAACAGCACAGGGGTCTTGCTAGTGTACCCACGTGACATAGCCGTTTACCGCGATGCGCGCCTCAGGTATCTATCAGGTATCTCCAGGTAAGGTACCTAGGTACCTTACACAGATAGAGAGGGACTGTAGGAGAACGCCGCCTCGCAGCTCCCCACTCTCGCACTTCGCCGTCGATGCCGCATTCGATATCTGTTTGATAATATAAGGATGAAACCCCGACATAAGCTATGGTTGATGTTGTCGTCGCTGAAAAGTAAAGGTGTATTGCAACCGCCATGACATCGCGGGGGAAGCCAGTGGCAATGGATGAAGATACGGTTCTTGGATACAACAAAGATGTTGAAGCTTTCCGGGAGCTGGAGTATCCCATGCTCAAGGGTCAGCGCCGACTCAATTCGATTATGAGATGTTGCTAATCTCGGGCTACAGATGCTGTTTATCTCGATCATGCTGGGACGACTTTGTATTCGAAGTCGCTCATGGAGAGATTCATGACTGATATGATGTCCAATCTTTACGGCAATCCCCATTCCGCCTCTCCATCCTCCCAATTATCGACAAACCGGATCGAAGACACCCGATTGAATGTTCTGCAGTTCTTCAATGCTGATCCAGATGAATTCGATATTGTCTTTGTTGCCAATGCCACCGCCGGGATAAAACTGGTGATGGATGCGTTCCGGGGGAGAGCTGGCGGATTCAACTACGGCTACCATATTGCTGCGCATACAAGTCTTGTTGGAGTTCGAGAGAATGCTGTATCAAGCTGTTGTCTTGATGATGAGGATGTTGAGCTGTGGCTCGACGGCTTTCGGAGTCTTGTGGACGGGAATCATGGCTGTGATTTGAATCTGTTCGCATACCCGGCCCAGTCAAACTTGGACGGACGGCGTCTACCATTAACATGGGCGCATAGAGTACGGGAAGCCAGTTCTCCCATGGGCTCGACAAATTACACCCTGCTCGATGCGTCTGCCATGGTCTCAACATCCCAGTTGGATTTAAGCGATGCGAGGACAGCTCCGGACTTCACTGTCCTTAGCTTCTACAAAATATTTGGATTTCCGGATTTGGGCGCATTGATTGTGAGGAAGGATTCTGGCTCAATCTTCGATAACCGGAAGTACTTTGGTGGAGGTACTGTTGATGTCGTCCTCTGCGTGAAGGAGCAATGGCACGCCCCAAAAACGCAGTCCCTACATGAGAGCCTTGAAGATGGTACTCTACCTCTCCATAACATCATGGCCTTGGATGCTGCAATCGACGTTCACAAAAGGTTGTATGGGTCTATGGATCAGATCGCAAGACACACTGCCTGTTTGGCGCGGAGACTATACGAGGGGCTAGCATCATTACGACATGCAAATTCTGAACCCGTATGCGTAATGCACTCCCCCGCATTTCCCTCGAGAGATGCCAATCTCAAGCAAGGTCCTGTGATAGCCTTCAATCTACGAAACAGTAGCGGAGCTTGGGTGAGCAACATCGAGTTTGAGAGACTGGCAGCTGTACGAAACATTCATGTCCGGACCGGCGGCGTTTGCAATCCCGGGGGTATTGCAACATCCTTGAAACTAGAAGCGTGGGAGATACGACGGAACTTCTCAGCTGGATATAGGTGTGGAGCCGAGACGGATATCTATTCTGGCAAGATCACTGGCATTATTCGAGCGAGCATAGGTGCAATGAGCACAATGAGCGATGTGGAAACATTCATCTCATTTGTTCGGGAATTCTATGTTGAAGAGAACCTTCCACTTCTTCACACGGACATCGCAGCGCATTCTGAGGAGCCGGCTGATCTGGTTGTAGAGAGCCTCACCGTCTACCCGATCAAGAGTTGTGGGGGCTTCAGCATTCCACCATCCGCTGCTTGGGAGGTCAGGCCAGAAGGCCTGGTATGGGATAGAGAATGGTGCCTTATCCACCAAGGGACGGGCCAGGCATTGAGTCAGAAACGGCATCCTCGCATGGCTTTGATCCGACCGGTAATTGATTTTCAAGCTGGGGCTCTCCGTGTCCATTACCTTGGAACACGGCCTCCCGGAGTGCCCGAAGAAATCAGAATACCCCTTTCAGCGAATCCTTCTTTCTACAAGCCGGTAGACGGCACCAGATCCCTCTCATCTCGTGTGTGTGGCGATGCCATTGTAACACATACTTATGCCAACCCTGAAATCAACAATTTCTTCTCGAGTGTCCTTGACGTCCCCTGCGTTCTGGCTAGGTTCCCCGCCGGAGGGTCAGGATTGAGCGGCCGCCATGCGAAAGCTCATATGCAGAAGCATCAACGGCCAAAGAAGATTTCCTCGAATTCGGATCCAGGCTTCCTAGGTTCTCTGACCCCGCCAGATTCAGATAGCGAGACGCAGAAGAGGCCGATACTGTTGTCAAACGAGAGTCCTATTCTTGCAATCAACAGATCAAGCCTCGATGCCCTGAATGAAGAAATCATAAAGGGTGGAGGTTCTCCTGCATCTGCCGCTGTATTCCGAGCGAATGTGATCCTTGCGCCTTCTAATCAGAATACTCAACAACAGCCCTATAGTGAGGATCATTGGACGAAGCTCCGCATCGGTCAGCAGGAATTTCAGATGCTGGGATCGTGCCGTCGCTGCCATATGATCTGCATTAACCAGAACACTGCGGAGAAAGATAAAGAGCCTTTTGTTACGCTGGCAAAAACACGAAGGTTTGACTCGAAGATTTTCTTTGGCTCTCATATGTGTCATATTCCTTCCAAAAATGCCACAAGAGAGAGCCAATGCCCTACGATTAAAGTAGGGGATATTGTGTCAATAAGTATGAACGTCGGTTGAAATTAGATATCCTTCATGTCGTTTTTATATTGCCGGATTTGAGCGACGATGCATTGCAGGGAGTGGGTGTACCAGTTGGTATCGTTCCGGTGATTCAGGGTGTTCTAGGAAGAACGATTCATCAAAAAGGCAATTAGAAAATCGAGTGATTTATGGTCATTGTATGTATATATACATGAATACGACAGACGGTTCCTGGTGTTAAATCTTTCCATTGCCTCGGTGCCTTCGTTTATTTTGAATCTAGTCTTCTTAGTGATGCTTCTGATTCGATAACTTGAAACTTTTTGCGGAGTGGACCGACATTGGATAATGCCTGAGTCTACAAGTGGTCGGATCTGGACGTCATCCTCAGTCAGGCTCATCACCACCAGGATTTATGTGGGGTAAAATGCATCAATTTACTCTGGGGTATTTTCCAATCCCCGACTTTTAGCAATCGCTTGTTTTGCTTGTATGTGGAACAAAGAAACTTATAATAAGCACAATGTCTACTAGCGTTGGCACGAGGTATCTATACCCGTCATCGACGACTAAGAAACAGCTACTAATTGCTCCAGCGACTGCTGTCTCTCAAGCAAGGTCCACAAAGCCACACCAACAGGAAGCATCGAGACGGTCGGTAGTCTTCAAACATATATCGCCGCGCCTAACGATGGCTCCAAAGCCAAATCAGTTGTCTTTATCCCAGACGGTATGATACGATTTCTGATTTCCCTCGCCTCCGAGGACTATAGATAGGAATTCGAGCTAATATCTACCCCCAGTCTTTGGTTGGGAACTCCCTAACATCCGTCTACTCGCAGACGACTACGCCAAAGCCGGATTATACTGCTACATCCCCGATATCCACCACGGCGATTCGCTCCCCATCGAATTTCTCTCTTCCATGGAACCTCCCCTCAAGACCCGCGACCAACTCAGCCTAATCGACAAGACCAAGAACACTGCTACAGTCAGCACAACCCTACCTCCCTGGCTCGTCAAGCATCGCCAATCCGTAAGCAAACCCATCATCGACTCCTTCATCTCCACCGTGCGCGCCATCCCCGGAACGCAGAAGGTCGGCACCGTTGGATTTTCCTGGGGCGGAAGATACGCCATCCTCGCAGCGTACGGCGACGTTGACGCCGCCTACGCGTGCCATCCCTCGCCGCTCAACGTCCCTGAAGATCTCCGTCCCGTGTCCAAACCACTCAGTCTAGCACTGGGTGATAAAGATAGCTTTCTGGACAGGAACGCGATGGGTCAGATTCAGGATGCGTTGGCGGTCAAGACGGATGTCCCGCATGAGTTGAGGATCTATGAGGATCAGATTCATGGGTTTACGTTGCGTGATGATTGGAGTGGGGATAAGGATCGGAAGGCTATGGATGAGGCGGAGATGCAGGGCATTGAGTGGTTTTGTAGATATCTCTCTTAGACTATTTCATCGGATGGAGAATCGGGACACTGGTTTGGATTCAAAAGTTCGTTGTAGATGGTTTATATATGCAGGATTGTTGACGGAGACTTTTGGTAGAGCTTGCTGTGACCATATATCTCTATATCTCTTTTTTCTTCAAATGGAACAGATTTCTTCTAAGTCACCTTCAATTTTTCAATTACCCTATGTATCTAGATAACTGTATTCGGAACAGAAATTCATGCTTCCACCTCACCCTACCTCCCTATATAAACCTCTCCCCCCCTCCCTCTACCTCTTTCCTTCATACCAAGAGGCTGTCAATACCTGCACACCTGCGTGCTTTCCCTGCGGGCTTATTCTCCAGCCCATTGTTCTCCTCCTATCCAATCCAACCATTCCATTCCATTCAGCTACTTGCTGTGCACCATTCATCATTCACTAAATCGTCATTGTGAAAGCACGTGCTATTGTCACGTGCGGGAGTCACAATGACAGGATCACGGGAATGTGACAACAACGCACGTGATATTCACCTTAATAACTAGGGTGAGATGAGTGAGTGAGCTAGAGTCCGTAATTGACAGCTGAGGTACCTTGGGTTGGCGAGTAAGGTATGCCACCTCCCATCTGTGGTCTTGAGGATTATTAAGAGGAGGGTTTGAATCCATGATTTACTTTCCTTAAATACTCTTGAACAAGAGTCTAACGGAGCTATGACAATCTTCTCGCTTAACCCGCTGACCCCCCCTATTACTTAGGTAGGCACTTGTCAGATTTGAATGTTGGAGCATCTTACATCTATTCAGCTTCAAGTCACCCTCCAGGGAGGTGTCTGTCGGCCCGTATTCTTGGTACAGCCACGACTTAAGTTGGACCCAGTCCTGGAATTTGGCCGATTTCTCGGGTCTTGTATGGAGACGGGCAAGTTGTATGCGAGTCTTGATTGTTTGCCTCTACATTGAAAAAGCCCGGGGGTCGCAATGCTTTCATATCCTATGGTAAAGGCAAAAGATGAGACCTCGACGGTAAAGTAGCACATTGGTTCACTTTTGGGACAAGTGTTCAAGATAAGCATATCTCAATCAAAGTTTCCAAGGGAGGATTCAAAGTGAAGATAATGATTAGCAGCGTGGTCTGTGTCTGCTCAATTGATCAGCTCTCTTCGAAAGCCATTGGATACCCGGAGATTAAGAACTGGTGCTTGGCAAATGATCGAATAAGGATATGAATCCAAAGACTAAAAGGAGGTAGTAGTCAGGGTATCAAGTTTGAGCTGCGGTTTGCTGTGGATGACGAGATTTAACAAACTTCCGAGACATAACCAGATGGAATAACACTGGTAGGGCGCAGTGGCTTTCCGAAGGGACAAGGCCGATTGTAAAGCCCGTGCCGTGACGGAAGAAATCTCACCATCGTCCAGTTGACCTGACTTTCTGATTCCTTCGAATTCGTCGGCCAGTCTCCACGTGAAGAGCCTACTGATGTGATCAAAGCAGATACTAAAACTCCCAGCTATCTGTCCGTAGATATTGGCTGCGTCATGGTGCTACCGCAAAGGAGCTCGTTGTGCAAGACATACAACAATATCAAAGTCAGAAGATAATATAAAATCAAATCAAAGAGCTTGTAGTTCGAGAATTGAGGTTTGAAAAATTCCGACATATGACTTTTTTTGCCTTCTTCTAGAAACACATAACAAGGCGCCGCCCTTTCGCGAGAAGCTCGCTCATGAGCAGCCGTCAATACATGAATAACCTAAAACCCTGTAAATCCAGCGTTTATTGCTTCTTTTTTGATACAGATCTCGTCACGTGCCCTCCATTCTTTTGGGCCTTCACACCGGCTTTCTCTTCCTGTTCCCTCTCGAACTTCTCGGCCTCGTCCTGGTCTTTCCTCTCAGCATACCATTGTCCCGCCTGCAAGACGAGAACTCCAACTAAAACAAGTGCCAAAATTGTGTTGCTGGCAGCGAGAACCCGCAAGCTGTCTTCCCTGCCAACAACTGTTTCCGTGGAGCCCTCAGGCACAAGGTCGTAGGTGCCCGCAGTGGTGATTCTAAGCCCCTTCACGATATTGGTAATGTAGACGACCACGCCGACCGTGTAAAGACCCAAGGATGCGCCATCAAAGAGGAGGTTCGCCTCAGAAGGCTTAAAGAGCTTGATAAAGAAACCCATGAAGCCGATCGAGATGGCGATATGGAGAATGCGAGGGATAATCGGAGGCGACGCGTGCACGAACTTGAGGTGGGTCTCCAATTGATCATAATACTCAGGGGGCGTCGCAGCGGATGTCCACAGGAGGGGATAGTCGTAGGGAAATGAGGAGAACAACATGCCCAGGAAAAAACATGTTGCTATGGACTGTCAGTCAAAGAAATAACACGTTGAAGTCCGACACTCACGGCCAATGATCATAAAAGTCGCAAAACTTCCTGAACTAGTTTGTCCCTTTGGCTTTTCATAGGTCTTGAAGATTGAAACCTTCTTGGGATCCATTGCGAATAAGAATGCGCGCGAAAGCTCGGTGTCGCTGTGCTCTGATGTCTTCTGTTATCTTTACCGACTAAATCAAGGATGCGCCGGGTGCCGAGGAGAGATAGTCAGCTTTGCAGACACGAAAGGCCCTCAGAATAGCTGATGAAATGTAGGAGGTCGTGAAATCGTCGGAGAATTAACCAAGACAAGCTTCTGGAACGTTTGGATGGAAGAGAAGAGGCCACAGGTACAGAAGTGGGCGGGTGTGCGGAGGCTCTCGTGAGCTTCAATTTTCGACGTCTGATCTAGCGGGCGCTAATACCCCATATGGATTTAGCGCATTTAGGGGTCCAGATATGAAGAGGCACAGCGCACTAACCGAAAGGGGACCTACTCCGTGCTATCACATGTCAAATTCATAACTTCATTATTAACGATGCATATAAGTTTTGTTTCTTTTACCTATTCATGCTAGACATGGAACTGGATGCGATTGTATTATAGATGTCTATTTAACTGATCAACTTATTGCTACAAGCTGGATATCAAGCAAGGTGCTTGGAGATCCGGTGCATCCAGGCGACGCGCCAGAATTATTCAGACAGCAACTTCAGAAGTTTGGTGGATGTGGTTATTCTTCGCTTCATCTTCACTAGTGGTCTCGATGGGAGTAGGGTTTCTGAGATCAATTTAGGCGGCCAGTTTCCTCGACTTTTCGGTCGCTGCCACACCACCGAGGATCGCCTCTTCACCGTGAAAGTGCCCGACAATCTCCTTCAGTGCAGTGTTTCGTGTCTCGATATAGAACTTCCACACAATGAAGAGTTCGAAAAGGAGCTAGATGTCGTAGACGATGTAGTACTTCTGTTTGATATGAGACAGCGCAACTAGGTTCACATATTAGTTGAAGAGCAGGGAAAGATCCACAGCCAGCCACAAAACGGTTGTGCCCTATGCCTCAATTAATTCGGGCAACCCCTGATAGAAGATCTGGAGATAAGTTACCTTCGCACGAATGTTGAAAACACATCCCGGTGGCAACAATCATGTTGATGATCTGGAGAATAGCATTGATGAGAAGTTGTGTTGTCCCATTGGTAATGCCTACTTGGATTAGGACGGTGTGAATATAATAACTGGGATCAAAGATCAGTTTCTACCTATACATACCTGACAAATCCGTTCCCTGACCACTGGGAGAAAAAAGCCAAGGGGATTACCAGTAGTCCTCCAATGCTCGGACCAAGCATTACCCTCGAGCTCTTGCTCAAGATTCAAAGTCTCGCGGATTTCGAGATATTCAAGTTGGACAACTTCATCCAGAATGTTATTTCTTCTGGGTCTTAGCTATTGTCCCTAGCTGGGTCTTTGCCGTTTCTTTCATCAGCAGAAACATCATGTAAGTGGTGGAGGATAAAACTCTATTGCTGTATAAGTGCGAACTATGGATCTAGGGGCAGAAAAGCCCTTGAACCAAACCCATGTTCTTGGCTCGGTTCCAAGTGATGAGGTTCGGGCTGAATGGACCTCGTCCGGGGTAGCGATATCCCCGCAAATACCCCATACCAGGATGACCACTTTGAATACAAGCGAACCTATGCCGATCGTATGTTTGAAACTACCCAGCCCTCTACGAGGGAAATATATTATTCCACTTGAAATTTTAGGTAGGTTTTACGCATCGGATTTAGGTTGCATGGTTATTGATGGAAAGGAAATCAAGCCGCAACTAACGACTGCTGGATCATGTGATGCTAATGCTCAGAAATCAAGTTTCTTTCGCCGCTGGATATGTATGGGTTTTTCATGCTTGTGGCTTCAAAGACGAAAGAAAACCGTCTTACTATAGAATATATTATAGTAGTAGTAGTAACATCTTCCTCTATTAAATACCTATACTAGGTACTATAAGAGTTTAATCTAAGTTTTAGTGTACATATAGTTTTACAAGAGAGAAAGAAAATAAAACCCTCCTACTAAGGCGCCGTTATATCGCCGGTCCTTTTGTTATGTCCTTATCTCCTCTATATAAGCCTGTAGATATCGCTATAGATATAGCACGCCTCTTGTACGCTAGACTACTCTTAGTACTCTACTTTGTTCTTAGATTAGAAATAAGAAAATAATAACCGCCTATAGTCACCCTAGTTCTTACCTAAGGGTTGCCCTTTATTTGTCTATACGCTATTCTTTTAACTCTTAAGATAAAAAATTCTAATCTTATAAGCCTCTTCCTCTCTTTGTATCGTAAATTACTTTTATAACTACCCTAGGTACTAGTTTCGTACGCGTGTTAGGTATAGCCTTTGTTTACTAGCTAGGACGTTACGTAGGCTTGTCTTAATGTAGGCCTAAGGCTGTCCTAATTGTTGTCCTAATTGTTGTTCTATACTAAATCTAGTTTAGTTCCTGTCGCCTATTTAGTTACTTACTAGTAAGGGGTCTTTGTTGTGTTCTATATAAACATCTTACCTTTCTGTCTTTCTCTTTACTAATTTACTTATAACCTTTCCTTCTTCTTTATTTACTCTTAAACTCCTCTCTCTAAAACTAAAATCCTAAAACACCTTTAACATCTCTTAGTTGTCCCTTCCTTTAAGATACCTTACGCCGCCCCTACTATAACCCTATAGAAGCAGGGACGCGACTACTCCCCTTTGCTTTACTAGTCTACTAGTAAGCGTGTCTGTACTAGTAAGCCTCCCCGGGCTAGTCGTGTGTAATCCCGGGTATGGCCCGGGTATACTTGCTTAAGTAGGTAGCGTTATAGATTCTGGTTAGAATTATGCGGCTCTTTTGTGTTAGTTATAGCCTAAGTGTGTTCTAGTAGTATAGCTATTTTGTTTAAGTCCTATCCTAGTTAATAAATGTTAGTGTTAGTTAAACCCTAGGTTGTCCTAGGTATTCCTTGTATCCTTCTCGTATTTAATTAGTTAGCTAAGGCCTAGACTATAAGGCGGTACTGTCCTAGGATACCTAGCCCTATTAGCTATCTAGCTACCTTCTAGAGACGACCCGGGTCAGATGTAATTACCTAATAATCTAATAGGCCTAGTTATTTGATTAGGTACGCCTTCTGTTCTCTAAAATCTAGGTATCTAGTAATAATATACTTTACTATCTAAGACCTCTACTTATATAGGTAATCCGCTAAGTAGGTAGAGACCTTTCTTTAGGTTAAGAAGGCTTAGAGACTAATCTTCTCTGTCTTAATAGCTAGTACTAAGGAGTATTCTGCTTTTGTTATCGATTTATATCTCTCTATACGTTCCTCTCCTAGCTCTCTCTACTATACAAGGGTTAACCTAGGGTTGTCCTACTAGTAGCGTTTCTACTATATATTCTAATCCTTATAGAGTTTCTTCTTAAAGATACCTTATGCCTTAGTAAGGGAGAGCTTCTCTAGTAAAAGAGGTGTCTTAGGTTCCTTGTCTTATGTTATATTCTAGTCCTTAAGCTTATTCCTTACCTATCTTTCTTTAACTTCTACTAGGGTAGGCCTTAGGTTAGACTAGGGCCTACCCTTACTAGGATCTGTGTTCCTCTATATCCGGTCTCTAGCGTTCTAAATAACAGCTTTATAACTTATAAGCTATACTCTTACCTATATAGTCTTCTAGAGGAATTTAAAGTAAAGGTAGATTAGGGGTACGTTTGTTTTAGTATATAAGATCTTAATTAGGGTAGCCTTAAACGCTCTAGAGACTGCCCTAAGACTACTGTTTTAGATCTTCTAGAGTGACTTTACTATCCTTAAGAGACCCTTAGTAAGGTCTGTAGTTAAGAGCTAAACTACTAAGGCGTATGTAAGCGCTAGGGAGATAACTATATAGTATATTAGACAGGCTTTCTTTATTGTTATGCCTTACGTTAAGGCTATAGTATAGGTTAAGGCTAGTATCTGTCTCTCTATCTTTCCTTTTAGGTGTTTTAAGTAAGCTCCTTATGTTAGCTTTAGGTCTAGGATAAGGCTAAGGATCTTAATTAACGGTTCTAGGGTAATCTCTATATTACTTAAGGAGAGGCCTACGTTTAGGTTATGTTTTTGTCTTTTACTTAAGTAGAGTAGATAGTATTTCGTTAGTTTAAAGACAGCCTTATGTCTGTAGGCCTAGTTAGAACATACCTAGTAAATCTTTACTAGCCCTTAGTAATTCCCTTTTATTGTCTTGCCTTAGACAATAATGTTTATATTATTAACAAATCTAACAGTACTTCTCTCTTATAAGGTAGTATTATACTATTCTACTAGTTCTAAGTTATAAAACAGAAAGAGGATAAGGGACAAGAGAGAGCCTTATAGAATTCTAAAGAAGACTTTAAAGAAGGGGCTAGTATAGTTATTAATCTTAATTAAACTACTTCTCCCTAAGAGAAAGCCTTTAACTAGTTAGACTATCTACTCTAGGATCTCCTTTATGTATAAGATATAAAGAAGCCTTAGGTAAGATAAATTATTAAAGGCCCTAGCTATATCTAGGCTAAGAATCGACGCCGCTATTTTTAGGCTACTTTACTAAGCCTTATAGACCTGTTCTATAATTAGTTCTAGTGCCGTAGTTATGTCTCTCCTTCTCTACGCCCTTATTTAGTATACTAGAAAGAGTTAGTAATCCTCTACTAGGTTAGTTAGTCTTATAGCGACTAGCTTCTCTAGAGTCTTTCTAAGGGTATTAAGAAGGGTAATTAGTTAATATAATTTTACTTAGTAGTAGTCTTTTCCTAGCTTTAGGATTATAATAGTTTAGGCTACCCTAAACTTCTCTAGGAAGTACCTGACCTAAGTATAGTAGTTAAAGAGGTAGGTATAGTGTTAGAGTAAGACCTCTATTAACATTTTAATAATCTTGTTTAGGATCTTATCTAGGCCTAAGGCCTTCTTGTTCTTAAGCTTTTTAATTATAGCGTAAACTTTATCTACTAAGAACTCTTATAAGTAGAATAGACTGTCTCTATACTATCTTCTTCTTAGGTTAACCGGCCTGTCTTAAGGGTATTAGTATTCTAAGATGTCTAAAAGATTAGTGTTAAGAGCTAGAGTAAAGAAAACGTCTTAGAAAGCTTTAGCCTTCTTCTTATAAGTATTAACTAAGGCCCTTTTACCCTAGGGGTAGAGGGTTAAGAACTATAGTAAGGGTCTAGGCAAGTAGCTTTTGTTCTTTGCCTATTGTTTAAGTTACTATATTCTCCTTTTCTACTAGCTAGCCTTATAGACTAGGGCCCTAAAGTAAAGGGTCTAGGCTTTTAGGATTACCTTCTTCTTTTCTCTTACTATTCTATACTACTCTCTTATCGTCTCTTCTAGAATTCTCTTACCTCTTTTCTAGTACCTTCTTAGATCTACTTGTCTTACCTTCTTTACTTACTTACTATACTCCTTGTTCTAAAAGCTTTTAGACTTGTCGCTTACCCTTTACTATAAGACCGCTACTTTAATAGCCTGATTTAAGGAGTCTATAAGTAGTTAGAGCTAGTTGTTAATATCTTCTAAAGTACGTAGCTTAGAGATTACTAGCGCTAAGCCTTATAAGATTTTAAAGAGCTTTAGTTTGTTAGTCGCTTTTTATTGTCTTTATAAGAGTAGGACGTAGCTTTTAGCCTTAAATCTAAGCTTTATAGTAATAAAGAAGTAATTAGACTAGAGGTCGTGTCCTAGCTTTACTTTATAAGAGCTAAGGAGATCTTTAAATTTAATTAGGATTAGGGCTAGGTTAATATAAGATTTGTAGTTTCTTCTTCCTTACGTTCGTTCTCTAATAAGCGTTATAATCTTAAGTAAAAAGTCTTATAGAATACTTATTACTTTATCTAACATTCTCTCTAGGTCTTAAGAGGCTCTACCCCCTTATATAGAGTAATAGAGGTTAAAGTCCCTTACTACTATATACTTG